GTAGCAAATATGAAAGCATATGATTACCAAATAGAATGTGCAACATGGAGTAGATGTAAGGGTGAGAAAAAGGGTAGAGAGTCTGGGGACATATATTTTCTAGCTAAAGGGTTCTTATAGGTTCAAAGCCAAGTTGGCAGATCTGAAGGGAGGAGAAAGGATTTCCCTTGCTCCCACCCTTCCCAATTAATCACTTGCAGGAGGTCACCAGGCTGAGGGCTGAGGCTGGATTTTAAAGGACCGGATACTTCTATAACTAAGCCACGGTTGTAGCTACACAAGCTAGGATAACAATGTGGGTAATTAAATTCTGGGATCCTGAGCATGAGTTGATTGTGCCCTAGAGTCAGAAAGGAATTCCCCTCCTGCCTCCCTCTACTGAACTTGGGATCCATCCCCAACACTGCATTCAGCAGATACCATGCTCTAGGCTGGTTTTTGGCAGGAGACCCCTGGAGATTTTCTGAAAGCTTAAAATGAAGCTGCTCATGCTGAGGGTCTTCACCCTTCTTGACTGCTGCCACCATGTGTTGGAGACAAACATAAGAACTCACTTCCTAGGAAAGACCAGAGTATGAAGAAAAAGAAAGAAAATCAGTCTCGACCACAATTTTCCTGCAAGTGGGAGTTGAGTTCTGGTAATTAAAAAAAATGAAAACAGGGGCACCTCGGTGGTGCAGTCAGTTAAGTCTTTGACTCTTGGTTCCAGCTCAGGTCGTGATCTCAGGGTCCTGAGATTGAGCCCTGTGTAGGGCTCCACACCCAGCATGGAGTCTGCTTAAGATTCTCTCTCCCTTTCTCTCTGCCCCCTCCCTCCTCGTGCTCTCTCTCTGTCTCAAATAAGTAAACCTTTAAAAAAAACAAACAAACAAACAAAAAGAACCATGGTGGATGCAAACTGCTCAGTGTGATTTTTAAACTTCTAAAAATGTGGGTCTGGGTTGGAAACAGCCTCAACTTATCTTTCCAACAGTTTCTCTCATGAAAGTCACTACAAACTCCTAATAACTGGACAATCTCTTATTTTTCAAATTTGCTCTTTCATTTTTGCTATTGTTGGCTACTCCTTAGTCCTTCATGCTTTTCATTTTACCTGGATTAATCCTTTCCAATCTCTGTCAAAATCCTTCATGTTGCTTCAAGACCTATCTTAAATGCCCTGCCACTGTGAAGACTGTGGCAAAGGCTGCTAGGTGACCAACAAACCCATCTCTTCTCCTGGACACACAGCTGGACTATACTTCCCAACCTCCCTCCCAGTTAGCTGTGGCCA